GAGAGAGAGAGAGAGAGAGAGAGAGAGAGAGAGAGAGAGAGAGAGAGAGAGAGAGAGAGATTCCACACACACGGAGACACAGTCAAGCACGTGCCCGCAAGCACCTTCATAATTCTTTGTAACGGTGGTCTTTTGGCCTAGTAGTATTGGAGGATAATTCACAAATGAAACGAAGGAGGAAAAATCAATCCGATTATAAACAAGAGATAGCCGTTGAAGCTGCCTTTCCGACAGTTCCGTTGCATGGCGCCCCTTCTATGGCATACCCGGCTCGCGGAATGTCGAGGCAGTCGGCGACTTCCCCTAAAGTTAACCCCAAACTTGTTAACCCCAGACTTACCGTCTTCACCGGAATACAACGTATGGTTATTATAGAGCTGTATTTGGGGTACATCTTTCAGTCTAATCCAAATACAGTGATAATGACAGGACGTTACATTTGGGTGAAGACGGTAGACGTGTGCCTCAGAATCTGGATCCTTTTCCTTTTTCCTTTCTCATGAAACTCATCCACTCTTGACGGGCCTCACCAAGTTATATTTGTGTACCCCTGGGACCTCCACACCGTTACACAGTTATCTCGACTACGGTATGGGGGCCCTTTGTTTCTAGGGGGGCGTTGGTGTTGTTGCAACAGACGGCCTAAACTTCTTCGAGGGATGCAGGGCCTCGCTCCCTGCTCTCGCCACATGCACAAAGGACAAAAATATGGGCCTGTAACCTCTGTGTTTTTTTCCTTTTTGCCTTTCTCTTTTTTTTCCCTTTCTGTACCAAAACCAAAACGCCCTTTCTACCTTTCACTATCTGGCTACTACTACTCCTAAGCCTAGGGCCTCGCTGCACTTGTCATGATTCCTGAAAAAAATCAAGAGGGCGTCATGAGTTGTCCGAGTCCTGAAATGGTCTAGAGTTTGGTTGTGGCTGCACTTACTCTAGATAGTCCCACTCATGAAGCACTCTTGTCACACTCGTGTGAATCCTGGAGTGCAGTGCAGCCTGGTTTGTCCATCCAGACCCAGGCTTGCACTAGAGATCCTGCACCCTTTCAAGAAAGCATCCGACCACCCACTCATGAAGCACTCTTGTCACACTCGTGTGGTTGCAGGCACGCGCGCAAGAGCGCTCTAGCAAGTCTTCGGCCGACGGTGCCCTGACAGCTCATGAACGAGCAACAAGGCAGTACTGCAGCGGCGACAGCTCTTGATGGATGCAAGAGTAACGTCTGACAGCTCTTGATGTGTTTTCGGACGGCCAAATTCAGGATTAAGTGCAGCGATGCGCAGCTCATGAAAAAACACATTTCATAAGTAGTGCAGCGACTAGAGTGCAGTGCAGCATGGTTTGTCCGTCCAGACCCAGACTCACTCTAGAAATCCTGCGCCCTGTCAAGAAACCGTCCAACCACCCTTGCAAAAATCAAGGTTGCAGGTGGGCGAGCAAGAGCGCTCTGGATGACTTCGTCTGACAGCGCCCTGACAGCTCATGAAATGTATTTTCACGAGCGACAAGGCAAGAGTAGTGCAGCGACGACAACTCTTGACGTTTGCAAGACTTACGTCGGACAGCTCATGATGCATTTTCCGACGGTCCAATTCACGAGTAAGTGCAGCGATGCGCAGCTCATGAAAAACCAAGTTTCATGAGTAGTGCAGCGGCGCCCCTATACAAGGAACCCCTGCAAAGCTGCAAGCATAGTGACCTTGTGACGCCCAACCTCACGCCCAGCGTGACTTCCTGATCGGATTGGGATGGGGGCCCGGAAGTGCGAAAAGGGGTGTGCCAAGGACTTTAGGAAAGTGGGGGTGGAGTCCCCCGTCGGAACTGAGATCTCCTATGGCAAGTTTTGGGGGTATAAGCGCAAAGAGAGTGGCCGGTGGTCGTGTTTGGTGCTTTTAATTTTCGTAAGACGGAGGGTAGACCGCTTTTCGGACTTGTGCACAAACGGGAAGCCGCTGATGTGGTGCAGCATAAGGCAGATTGCATGGGCAGTGCATCTTAGACCAAAGATCCCAGGGTGCTTTCCCACAATCACAGTACCAACACATCTAAACACACTTGCATTCTCGAACAAAATCCCAACAACATTGCCCCTGCCAATGAACTCAACTTCCAAACCTAAAAGAAATGGGGATCACCATCTCTTTTGGTTTTGCCCTCGAGGCCGGTTGCGCGGCTCGATCAGTCGTCGGCGCCGCTCAGCTTCAGTGTGGGTTCGCCGACCGAATTCCGAGGCTCAATAGGCCTGGTGCCGCTGACATTTTTCACACGGTATACGGGGCCGATAGCAGGCTATGGAATTCCACGCCACTGCCGTGAGTTGGTGATATGGAAGGAGGAGGCGGAAGGGAGGGAAGTTGGTAGTAATAACCACGAAACCGGGGGATATGAAATACTGCGTGTTATAAGTATCCGGATAATCGGGGCCCCTAGGATCGTTAGTTATGGCACAGTGAAAGTCCCTCACACACAATCGATCACTTTTTGTCAGACAGGGGAATTTCGGAGTTCTTAAGTTTCTCGGCCATCTGAGTTGTTCACCTTCCCAGTATTCGCGGTATTCCGGGTCCCTCAGACTCTCACCATTGGACATCCACGATTGGACATCCAAGAAGGAAATTCTGCAGTCATATTCGTTTAGAAAGACCGGTCCCCTGCATCCTCATATGGAGTTCCAGGCCGGCTCACGCAGGCGAGCGCGTACGTAGCGACTCGGTTTCCTCGAGATCACGGTTGTACGCGAGCGTGCACGTGAGAAACAGCGGGTTGGTTCAGCGTGTCGATCGCATTCAACATCCATGCAGACATCCTTTCCCTGCCGCGTCGGGTGAGATCCGATCATTACATATCATACATGTGACAAAAAGGAGGAAAGAAGAGAAAGGATCGTCAACTTCCTTTAGCACTCTTGCCGATCAAAAGTTAACAACGAAACCAAAACATCCATAATCGAGCGCTTTCAATCATATATGAGCGTATAGCTTACGCAAGTGATCAGTGCACAGAGTCGAAATGAACATCACAAAACAAGATTGAAAATCCGATAGCATCGCTAATAAAGGGGACTCACATTCATTCCATGCATACATACAAAATACAAACAACAAGGGAAATTCAAGACGATTTATAAAAGAAGTCGAAAAAGAAGGCCGTGATAAAATCGACCATATCCGGATCCAAAATTATACAGCGGAACAGAGGAAAAGAAAAGAACGACGAAAAGAATCTTATCCCACACCCACACAACTGCTCTCTCTCTCTCTCCACCCCCCCCCCCCCCCCCCCCCCCCCCCCCCCCCCCCCCCCCCCCCCCCCCCCNCCCCCCCCCCCCCCCCCCCCCCCCCCCCCCCCCCCCCCGATACCGGCAGTTCGACGCCGCGTATCAACACAGAGTTATCACCCCGCTTGGTTCGAGCATGCAAGCCAAGTTCGCCCGTGCGCCACAGTCCGTTGTGGCCCCGCACGTCAACCCCGCATACCCGACACCAGCTCGTCGGATCGCCTAATTCTCGCACCCACTTACCTTCCACACTTACTCGTTAGCCGACCCTCACTGATGGCGCTAACCTCGAAATTCTTAGAGAGCAAACTAATCGCGCTTGCGAAATTTATAGCATGCATGCCTGCGTGAAAGGTACGGGATTAAGCCCAGGTGGACAAGAGAAGAAAAGAGGAAGTGCCTACGTCTGCATGGCCAGGTCGCAGCATGGGGTTTGTAGCCACACTCCACGCATCGATCCGGTCATGTAGGCGCTCCAGCCAATTAGAACAGAGTATACGAGGCGAGGAAGAAGAAGAGGAAGGTGGGCAAACACAAGGACACCAAGAAAGAAGGAAGATACAGGTACCATTGCGCCCACCAAAAACGATAGTTGCACAAGATTAAGGGCGCGATCCAGTCAGAGCCCAGTTCTCAGCGCAGCAAGATGCGCGCAAGCGCGGCGCAACAAAATTAAGCGTTCCTAAATTCCTAGCATAAGTCCTAATTGCAAAAGGAAATTCAGAAAACGAGAAAAACAATTCCGCTAGCCCATGGGGGCTCGGTCGTCGGTTGAAAATTCAAAAACGATATTCCCGCGCGATGATCACGCCAAAAATCTCAGTGCTCACAGCAGAACAAGAAAAAAGCTATGGTACAGTTATTTCTCGCGCTCGCTAAGGCGCGGCTACCCAACCATTGGCACGGGATCTTTCCAACACCGATTCGACATTCCCAGCAGAAAGCGAAAAAGGAACGAGGACATCCATGCAATTTGCCCGTCCGACCCATCTTTTCGCAACTCACCCACCCAACCCGTCGTATTCCCCCAAGCAGCTTCGCGCAGAAAGTCGCCCGATTACAGAAGATGGTTCGTCACATATGTGACGCCCATGGGGTCCAATCTTGAGCAAGCTCCTACTTGCTCTCTCGTCAGGCGCCGACCAGTTGTCTGATGATCGACACGGAGCTGGCACGTGTCACTTACCATAGGATCTGAGTG